GGACACCACTCGATCAACACACAAAATTAGGATCCACAATATCTATAGACTTCTTGTTGGAGAAAATCAAGCTCAATATGGTTGGTTAGCAGTCAATCTCCATTTGTTAAGCTTGATACCAAATCCAGTATGTAGTACCTAAAACTTTCTCATCACCAAATTGCCGTTCTAGTTTTCCATGAATTCACACACACCATAGGCAGAAAGAGAACTCAAATACTCAAACTAAAGTTCAACCTTCAAGAAGTTGGAAACCTACAAAATAGTGTTAGCCACTCTATTATGGCATCTAATTCACCTCTTGTCTTAGTATATATAGAGAGAAAAAGTGTGTAAACAGCTATTACTTCCTGAAATGGGATTAGAGTTAAAAATACAGAGATGGGTTTTTGATGAGTTAGGTTTGTAATTTGCTTGGTATATATCACCAACGGTATTAGAAGTGATCCTTGGCTTGAAAAGTTTGTACCATTGGATTTTCAACTTTAAATGGTCCATGTATCAGTAGTCACAATGCAATGTGCTATGAAAATGTAAAACTAAAGAAAGTCCATAATCATCTTATTTAATGAGTTTATTTATTAATATGTTGTAGGGGTTATCCTATGATACACACCCTTAAAAAGTGTGTCATATGTACATTATGACATTTGTGAGGTTGATTACCCCAAACGTCATAACTGAATCATTTCCAATCATAATTAAAAAAATGAGTCATAATCAAATAACACATAAGGTATAATAAAAATTTTTTGAATTGTAACTAAAATAATATCATAATTAACATCGCAATAAATCATAACTATACCACAATATGTATAACGAAATCATAATTAAGTCATAACTTATATTACAATAGATCATAACTAAAGACTACAAACGTGTAACTGCAGTATATACATCTCAAAAGGAGTATGTATCATAGAATTTGCCATAGAATTTCTCATTGAACTATCTACTAAAAATCCAAAACTCGTTTTCCAAAATAAACAAATAAATAACAACCACTAAGGCTCTTGGCTTGGCTGCATGCTCCAACCAAACCAAATCACTGCAAGCTGTAGCTCACATGCTTCCATGTTGAAATAAATGTAAACACTGAAAGTGCTTAACATAAAGAAGTGAGTACTTGAAATAAATGAGAAAAAGCAGGAGTAAAAAATGCAAAAAAAGAAATTGTAAGAAATAAACGAAGTAGATGGATGCATCAAAGAAGGAAACAAAGAGATTCACACGAGCAACCGTAACAATCAGTATGGATTATAGAATAGATGGATAAAAGCGTGCCGTCTCAACCTCTCTTTGCTTGTATTCTGTGCAACATCTACATCTCTTTTTTAATCTTTCTGAATGTGTAGTGTGGCCAATTTAAGAGAGAGTTGTGACCAAGTTTCCTAGCTGAAATTATCACAAACCCTGTAACTTGTTACTTGTAAAGAATTATATAACATTGTCTTTGATTATTATGGTCTTGAAACTTGACCATATATCAAATCTGGCTAAAGATTTTTTGTCTTAAAATTTATGTTCTATGTTTCATTGCACTCTTAACCATAGAATCAGAGACAGAGCTACATATGGGGACTACGGGACACGTGCCCCTTCTCATTTTTTGAAAATTATACTTTTACCTCCGATTAGATTTTTTTATTTATTTATAATTTATCTCCCTTTTAATTTTTAAATATGTTCCTAAATCTTTTTATCTCACCTTTCTTTTCTCTTTCTTTTTAATACATTCCTTACAATTTGCCACTATAAAATATTCTGCTATAATTATTTCTATCTCTCTCATTTCTCTCTTATTTTTCTTCATATCTATCTTCTTCTTCTTCTTCTTTCTTTCTTTCTTTCTTTGTTTTTTTTTTTTTTTTTTTTTTTTTTTTTTTTTTTTTTTGGGGGGTTATGGTTTTTTTGGAGGGGGGGTATGCATGTGATTACATTTTAAATTGTGATTATCATCATATTTAGTAACTAAAATAGCAAATAAAAAAATTATCGATTAATTAAAACATAACTAAGGCATATAATTTTGACATCATGTTGATTTTTGGCCATTCTATCGCCAAATGAAAATTAGATCTGGTTAGGCTTTGTAATTGATATCGCTAATGATTTAATTGAATAGTGCCTCACATGAATCAAAATCTTGATTCCGCCACTGCATATAATCATATAAGAATTTTGAGACATAATTCAATAATAAAGAATGAACGTGCCATAAAAAATTATTACATAAGTCATGAAGATTATGTGTGGTCGTGCACAATCTAATGGAATATTGTCATTCTTTCACCATTTCCTTGTATTTAGGGCTATGTAAGTAATGTAATTATTAGGGCTTGTGGTATTGCTTGAGCAAACCACTAACGTTGTACTCCTTGTACATAGTACCTATTCTACTTTTCATTTTTATTGTTTCAACCAACTTCAATTAAAGATTTTTTTTATACATCGGAGAAGAGGCGTCAAACTTGCCACCTCTTAAAAAATAATACAAGTTATGAAGACTGGTAACCTTGGTCAACTTTAAATAAATAAATAATTGAACTAATAGTAAAACAACAAGCTTGTATCAATTTTTTTTCCCCTCTAGTTGTGATTAATTTCTGAATTTGAGGGGAAAAACTTAAAGGAATAACAGAGAAAGGGCTTAACATTTAATGGAGTGACTATATTAAAACGATGACATGGCATCAATTTTAATTTCTCCTAAGCTGTGGTGAGAACTGAGTCTTGTTTTTTCGTTTTATTTTTTTATTTTTTTATGTCAAAGATAGAATGTTAGTAAATTAGTAAAGTTAGGTTACAATTTAAAAGGGCCGTCACTGATCCATCAGCTTGAACTCCACACATTTCACTCATTGCACTGTAAGGCGCAGTTACATGCCACTTGACCACAAGAGCCCACTTGACCACAAGAGCCTTAGCAGAGAACTCAATCTATGCTCCCCTAAATGTTAAGCCTATTTTCAAGATGACCAACTTATGAGATTACAATTTAATGGTTCAAATTATCACCACGCCAATCCAACAGTCAAATTACACTAAGTACACAAAAGATTAAATATAAATGGGATATAGATATCATACAGGGATGGGATTCACATGATATGAAACTCACCTTTTATGAGACATTTATGTCATATTATGTATTTGGTCTATGTGTTTCTAACATATAATCTTATCAAATTATATCAATACGTCTCTTTTTCTTGAGAAACTATTCAAAGAATTGATACCACTATGTTACTAGTCATTCTTATTAATTATCGTCGGCTAAATAGTAAAAATATAACATGAAATAGTACTTTTTTTTTTCTTTCTTTCCTGAGATGATAGGTCAGGTGATACATCAAACCCCATTTTTACTAAGTTAACTAATTATAATTAATAAGAATATGAGAATCTTGAACCACGAAAATTAGAATTTTCTTCTTATTCTTTTTCTTGTGACCGTTAGTGCTAAAAATTTGTTAGTTGAAAGTTGAAACCCACCTTTTTTTTTAAAAAAACTTTCGAGTGATAATTAAGATCCTTTCAATTGCATTGTTGTAATATAACACCATCTAAATGTTGTGAAAAAACTACCTTATGCTGTGTTTGATTGGGAAATTTGAGAAAAGATTTGGAAAGAGAAAGAAAAAAAATATGTGAAATTAGATAAAATGTTGTAGGACAATCTTCACTGTATTTAATTAAGTTAAATTCTGTTGTGTACAAAACAACAACAAGAATATAAAGAAATAAAGAAAATGAGAGAATTTGTTTGATTACAAAAATCAAACTCAAAATAATAAATAAATAAATAAAACCACAGATTTTATTTTGTTACAAAAATAAAAATAAAATCTGATTAAATAAACAAATAAAAACAGAATAAAATTAAACAACTTACTTGGTTAATTTATTTGAATAACTTTTCTGATCAAGTCCAGTGTTTAACACTGTGTCCTTAAGACAGATTCGTCCTCTCCACGGTGCTATCAGAATTTGGACGTCTATCTCCCAGGATGAAATGATCTACCACAAACAATAGCAGCACTACAAATTGTTTGCCTTACGAACACACTAAGTGTTTATACTCTCTCTGACAAGAAAATAATGCAGCAAAATGAAGAGGGGAAGGGCTCTGTTTGGATGAACAGTAAATCCAAACCAGTTTAATTCTGTTTGAAAACGGGAAGGGCCCTGTTTGGATGAACAGTAAACCCAAACCAGTTTAATTTGAATTCTTCAAATGTTTTTGACCCAAAAAGATTAGTATTGGGCCGAACAAGCCCAACTAAACACCACGCACCGTGCCCAAGCCGTGTGGTGATTTTTTGGTCCAATGGGTCTAGCCCATTTTGCTCATAACCTCTCCCTCTAAAACACTTGGGTACCCCTTGGGGCACACCCTAAGTATCTAACCCAAGCCTTATAAACCCTTTCAAAACTTTCCACCAAATCAATGTGGGACAAGCCAATTTACAACCTTAAGGAATTTCCACCAAAACTCTATTTCCATGGAGCACACTTTGGCTTCAATTTCCCATTCACTCGGTAATGGTTTTGAGCAACCAAATATACCACGTGAATCACAACGCGGCATAGAACGCGTTACCACTTTGACCCGAGTAAATCGACGCTCGGGGCCCACCTAAAAAATAGACCAAACTTGAGAAAAAATTTTAGTTTTACCCAGAATTTTTCTACCATTTCCAACAAATGTATGTATATTTTATTCACATTTCACCTACATTTTCCATTTTCTTTCCAAATCCCTTTCAAATCCTCTGATCAAACACGGCATTAGTGAATGTAATGACATTTTCTTAATTTAAAATAGTAGTAAATTTATTTTTTTATTTAATATCAGTTGAAAATGTTAAGAGAATCACGATTCAATTAAGTCACATCAATGCTCTCCCCTCTTGGTCATTCCTCACGTTTCTCTCTCTATAAATTTCACAACTTCCCACTTTTGTAGTTACTAATACTACACCTTTTGGATTCTTCTCTCCCATCTCCCTTGTTTTTGCTCTGTTTTATTCAATTTCATACCCTTCAAGAGCTCTTAGTACACCATGGATGGTGTTGAACCCAAAATTATGCAAAACCCAACTTTCAAAACGCACAAATATTCCTTAGCAGCCCAAATTTGCCTCAGAATTTTGGCAACTGTGGCTTCATTAGCTGCTGCATGGATTATGTTCACCAATAAGCAATCTATCATTTTATATGGCCTTGTGGTCGATGCCCGATACAGCTACTCCTCTGCTTTCAAGTAAGACATGTATATATACTTATGCATTTAGGTATATATGTTCTAATTTCAGTATTAGCTCTGTCTGGAGACCTTTTTCGTTTCCTTGTGTTGGTGTTGTTAAGATTGCTCAAGATTCACAAATTTTGTTGCAGGTTCTTTGCTGTTGCAAATCTTATTACAAGTGTATTGTCTGTGGGATCCTTGTTTGTTGCTGTTATCCTTGCTCGAAATTGGTCTCACCTCAACAACTACTTCTACATGTTCCTGCATGATTTGGTAAACATTCTTGTAAATCTTATAATCTGAAAACAAGGTACCCACAAAAAAAAAAAAAAAAAAAAAAAAAAAAAAAAAAAAAAAAAAAATTATTCCCATTTAAGTGTTCAAAAAATGAAATTTATGATGTATATTTAAATTTATTACCAAGGTTTCGGAATGGAGTTGCGGTCGCTGTAATGATTGCGGTGATACGATTGCAGTTGCAAGGTGTAAAGGTCGTAGCGTAACGGTTGCAATAACCGAAATCGTGATTTTTTTTTTTTTTGCACAATTTAATGAAAACTTACCGATACGTATATTTTTTTTTTCAGAATCATATTTATTAGGATTTAAAATATATTTTGATCAATTTTTGTTAATTTTTAAGTATGATCTAATATATTTCATATTTTCAAATCACGATAAAAGGAGCTTTTTACATTTTATTTTAATAGTTAATGATTTTAAGAATAATTGATTTTAAATGTCTACAAATTATTTTTGAGCAATACCTGAACTAACTGAATAAAAAATATTCACAATTATTAAATGAAATGATTATAAAAATAAAAATTATGCCATAAACGAAAATTATTTTTGAGGCATTTTTTTAGACAACGCTTTATAGCTAACTAAATAAAATTATTTACAATTAAGTATTAAATGAAATTATTATAAAAATAAAAATTGTGACATAAACAAAAAGTATTTTTGAACTACTGATTTTATTTATTTTTTTAAAAACCTTTTTTAGACAACATTGTAGTAACAAAATAAAAAAATATTTACAATTAAATATTAAATAAAATGATTATAAAAATGAATACAATCACTGTTTATATATTTTTTATTTTACATACTAATAAAATGGAATAAAATTTTTTAAACAATTATAAAGAAAAAAAAAATTCATTTAAGATATTTTTTTTGGCTTGGATCACTTGAGTATTTTGTTTTTTTGTTTTTTTTTGTTTTTGTAAGCTTTTGTTTTTTGAAAGGAAGTTATTCAGAATGTTGTAAAAAGATGTAACGATGTGTAACGAACAGTTACAGTGTGTAACACTATGGCTGTTATGTAATACTGAAACGACTGTTACATAAGTGAATTTCCGTCACACTGCTATAGCAGCCATAACTGGTGGCAGTGACCACCACAATCGTTATGTAATGGCTTTACATAACGATTACGGTCGCTTTTTGAAATCTTGTTTATTACAGTATAAGTCACATTAAGGTCTTGTTTGGATACATGCTATTTTAGTAATTTTTTGATTTTTTAGTTAAAATATAATGTAAAAAAAATTAGTATGTATGAAAAGAGTTTTAAATTTTTTTACGAAAAGATGTGCAAAAAGTAGAAAGAAAATAAAACCTTTGACTTTTTGGTATAAATTATTGACTTTTTAAAAATTTTAATGAATTTTTGACTTTTAGACTAAAATATTGAGTTATCAAACGAGGACTTCAGACTGACTTTATAATTCACATATTATATTTGTTTGACACTTTTCAAAATACCATTTTTTTAAGTGCATAGCATGAAGTTGTTACTTAAGTTGTCATAACTGAACTTGCCCAATTTTGGCATTATTATCTTTGGTGCAAAATTTGACACAAGTTACATTTTGTCAAGTTTTACATTGCTATCAACTACTAGATGTATTTTATAAAGATTCCACAATAGTTGAAAGATAAAATGATAACTACGTCAAAAAAATGACAAAAGAATTGGAACAAAGCTATTAAATTTTGACCTTTTTTCTATTATACAATAGTCAATAATTAATAGTGATATCAATCTCTAATATTTAGCATTACAGATATTTACAAAAGTTTTTTTATATAACGAGTACGCTGCTGCATTAATGCACTTATTGTGAAAGAAGAAAGTGCACCAATCCATTGCACCCGTTACGTACTACAGGAAAAATGAGATTTAGCGGCGTTTATTTAATGGCGTTTTTATAAACGTCACTTTTTCTAATATTTAGCGACGCTTTATAAACGTCGCATTTTGTTTTTTATTTTTAATTTTATTTTCAAACTTAGTTTATTTATTATTTTAATAAACATCATTTATTAGTTCTTAATAATTGTTTATGACAGGTATTTTTTTCAACCATATAAAATTAGCACCACTTCAAAAATTAAAAAAAATAAAATTAAAAATAAAGGCTATGGCGGCGTTTTTTGAACGTCACTATATTCCTATCCCAACGGTTAGATTTTTAAAATGTGTAAATGTCTTTGACGGCGTTTTAAAAACGTCTCTAAATGTCATAGTGACGTCATAGTGCAGTTAGGGTAGGACATTTGGCGGCGTTTTTAAAAACACCGCCTATACTAAGATACCGACGTTTTTCAAGCGCCATAAAGCTATAGCGACGGCCGCGTCTTCGGCGTTTGATATGAAACGTCACAAAAAGAATTAGCGACGTTTTCAGTACCTATAGCGGCGTTTTTAAAACGCCGCAAAAAATCGATTTTCCAGCAGTGTACATAAAACACTATGTCTCAATACAACAGATAAATTATAAAATTACTACTGGCACATACTGATAATTTAGATGTTTTTTTGATGGGGGGATGTGAATTTGGACAGGTTTTGATGACATTGGTAATAGCTGCATGTGGGGCTGCAACATCGATTGGATTTGTGGGTCGATATGGGAATAATCATGCTGGTTGGATGCCCATTTGTGACAATTTTGTCAGATTTTGTGACAGAGTCACCATTTCTCTGATTCTCTCTTATTTCTCTTTCCTCTTCTATCTATTTCTCACTATCATCTCTGCCAACAAGTCCAGAAAAATTCAAGTTTGAAGCTTTGAGAGAGAGGGAGAGAGGATCTTGGCAATGGTGGTGGTGAATATATGATGAAATGGGCATATCTTGTAAACATGTCAGTGAGACTTTCTGTACTTTCTTATAGGAAAAAATATAAATAAATAAATAAATAAAGAGTAGTTCGTGATAAAGCCTCTTTTTTGCATTCTTAGGCTCTTATTGCCAATATGGTACAAAGTGATGCAACTACTATGGTTAGCCTAAATCAAAGACAAAACAATGTGTGCATATGTAGTAATAATATATTATCTATACAACTTTTTAGGATTGCAAATTTCATTGAAATTTATATAATGCTTCGCGATCAAAGGGCAAATGCACGTGGTGCTTCAATTTGAATTTTATTTGGCTTTAACACTAAGATTCATCATTTTGTGTTTCCTTTTAAGAGACAACAAGACAAATGTCCTATAGCGATTCTGATTTAGATTCGACCCATTTGTTATTTTTGGATTCTGGAACCCATGTATTTAACTGTTGTTTAGTTCATTTTTATCTTATTGTTTGTTGGGTTTGGCTATTGGGAGTTTTGGTTGTATTCGAAACAAGTTGAAAAGTCAGTTTTTCAATAAGTTATCCAGATTTTTGCCTGTTCACTTAAGCAATACTTCTTGCACTCAAGCAGTCTTTTGCAGTCTGTAAAACTACAGAGAGTTTGATATCTGCGCTCGAACAAACTTTTACAGGTCTGAACTACTGGGAGGGGGTCATTGTGCGCTCGAGCGGTGGTTTTCATCGCTCGAGCGGTGTCACTTACCATGTCTATTCGCTCGAGCAGTGTTTTAGTCGCTTAAGCGGTCGATGTGTATATTAGTCCGAGATACAGTATTTTTCAATCACTTTTTCACCTCTTCCTCTCTCTAAACGTTCCCAAAACTCTAGATCTACTCTGTCTCTGTCTCTCTAGCTCTTGAACTCTTACTCCAAATACTCTCAATCCATGGATTTCCTAACCCTCGCCCTTTGGAGTAAAAGATAGAGCATATCGAGGGCTTCATTCTAATCGGAGAAGTTGGTGTTTTTGACTCCATCGGGTTCTACCCATTGTTTCTTCTTGTCTTCTACTTAGAGATAGAGATTTCTTTGACTCTTTATATGATTTTTAGCTTAGCTATTTATTTTTTTAAAAGGGTTACTTATTTGGGAAATTTTGATAAAATCTAGAGTTTGGTTTGAAATCAAAAGAGAGGTTTTTCAATATTGATTTCTTGAAATTGGTTGGGGGAGAATGGTTATGGATGGTTTGAGTTGAGATGATAGAAATCTTTTCTTAAAATTGATTTTGTGAGAAAATGGGGTTTTGTCCTAATTTTGAATATTTGGAAATTGTGAAAGGAAATGGGAAACGATGTTGGATATTGTGAAATTGGAACAAGGTTCATGTTAATAATGATGGTGGAGTTGGGTATGTATTATCACTCCCGTTGTAATTGATGAAATTGTATATTTCGTTTGGGGACTGACTATTTTAGCCAAAAAGCCAAAAAACCAACTAAAACTAGTCACATCACCTCTCTACTTTTCTGCACATCTTTTCGTAGAGCATCATTATACATTGAACATTGTAAATATCTTGCTTTTTGAGAAGAAAAAAAAAGGGTGAATACCGTGGTGAATCTGGTTAGGGGTGTGGTTGTAGTTTTATTTTGTTGGCCTGTGTGTCCTTGGTAAAAGTTCAGAAACCTGAGCGGTTAGGTATTGATCCTTCTGATTAGTATCGGTAAAATGGTTTTGGTAGTGTTCGTATAGCCTATTTGCAAACACGTACCTAGAGATTCTTAGTGTATTGTATCTACTGCCTTGTTTTTTGTATGAAAGAATTATATTCATGAATTGATTTATAATTTGGTATTGCATTATTTTGAGATGGAAAATGAGGAATGTTTGATAAACGGCACGCATGTGCATTACCTTATAATTTTGTTAAGATTGTTAAAGTATCTCTATTGGGATTTGGCTCACCCTATATAGAAAACAACTTTCAGATGCTGATGATATGCCTCCGCCAAGGACATAGTTTGGGAAGACTCGGAGCTTAAGGCTTCTTTTTTGTTTTCTTTATGTAACTATTTTTGATTAAGTCTCGAGCTTTACATGTATTGAGTTTAAACTCATTTTGTTGTAACCAAGTATTGTTTTGGAAAGTTGTAGCAATTAGGGCATTTCATTATTTGGGTTTTATTTTTCTTTTTACTCTTGTATTCATGCCATATGTTATAGATTCAGAATTTAGGATTTGTGAATATATATTGTATATGTTATCTTTTGTAATCATCAAAGATGAAATATATGAAAGATATGAGATTGTCAATTAATTGTAGCACTATTAATAAATGGGTTATTGTTATTTATTTCGGGGCGTTACATGTCCCAACATGAATGGTGTGGACCATTAAATAACTTTTTTAAATTTCATTGTTGAATTTAATTTAGCAAATATCAATATTCGTAAAAATTGGTAGTAAAGACAAGATACACATAGACCAGAAAAATCAGTACTCAAAAAAAAAAAAAATCAAAATATGTCATTCTTAGCATCGGTTTTTGCCGATAAAAAAAATTAAATGAATTCAAGAGGAATTTTCTAGAACGTATCAATACATTAGACTCATGCTATAAATTGTTTCATGTCATAAATAAACTCGAACACTCAAAGAAATTCATTGGAGAGGCAGATGCACATCTTTTACAACAAACACAATTCTCTATTCTTCGAACAAAAGCAATTTGCTCCATGCTAAATTGTCAAAATATTGTGCTAAAACTAATTTTTAAGCATGTTACAATATAAAAATATCAAAGTAAATAACACTACTCCAATGGAGAAATGTTATTTCTTCTGTTTTTGTTCACAAAAGCCAATACAAATGGTATTTGTGGGCTACATCAAAAGGGCGATAAATTGGTTACTCAATGTTATTACTTTGTTTTGTTAACAAAAGCCAAATACAGATCAACTTGTTAGGTTTTGGTTTTAAAAAAATACTTTTCAAAAAAAATTATTTTTTTATTTTTATTTTCAATGAATTTTTTTAATATTTTAATATTTTTTTAACTTTTAGACATACTTAACATAAATTCACTTAAAAAGTATAATATTTGTAAAAAAAATCTTTAAAAAATTCACTAAATACCCAAAAAATATGAAAATTCTGAACATTTTTCATATTTTTGTATATTTATTAAATTTTTTAAATATTTTACTACAACAATGATAGAGAGCTCTAATGATGTAGTAAGAGAAAAAAAAATAAAAACATAGGCACACACATCACATTAAATGTGAGTCCCACTCCTTGCCACATAACTAGAGCTCTCTTTAAAGCTCTAAAATTGAAATTCTTAATCTTTATTCATTTTACTATTTAGATACATCAAAGTAAGGTGCATTTAAAAAAATAAAAAAAATTACTTAAAATTTTAAAAATATTCACTCAAAAATAAAAAAATATGAAAAATAAAAAATTCAATTTTTAAAAAATTAAATTTAAAAAACTGAAACTAAATCAACTAAATGGTATTTGTGGGCCACATCAAAAGGGATATAAAATGGTTACTCCAATGGAGAAATGTGTTATTTCTTTTGTTTTGTTATTTGTGGCCACATCAAAAGAGAGAAAATGATGACACTGGGTGAAATTTGACAATATGTCAAATCTTATGTCATATTATAGGAAGGTAAATTATATTAGCCTCCCTTATATTTGAAAAAAAAATATAAAATTTTTATAATTTTGGCATAATTATATTGACTTTTCTCTTAATAAAGTTAAAAAAATTAAAACTAATATAAATGATATAAAGACACAAAGATGTACAAGGTAAAATATATATTTTAATATAAAAGAGATGAGAATATTATTTTTTATTCATACGACTAATAAATTTTTGATGAAAATAAGATCAAATGTTATATGAATTAAAATTTTAAAGGAGCTCATTATAATTATTACTAAACTTATGAAAGTTATTATTATTATTATTATTATTATTATTTTTGTTCAAATCTCAGAGGAGGTGAGTGTAATTTTAAACTGCTATAAACATTTAAGATGCTCTTATGTGCAGAAAATTAATATATTTTGGGTGTGATCCCCAAAATTTTAGGCTACACATTCACATTTTGCAAGTACAAGTATTGAGCAAATATTACTGAAGAATTCGTGTGCATGTTCTTTACATGTGAAGCCTAAATAAATAAATTTGAAGGCAGAATCTTATTTTTCCTACTTCACTGGACCCAAATCACTTCCCTTTGTCATTTAAAACTGTGTAACTCGCTTTCAAATACAGGTGAAATTTAAAATAAAATAAAAACTCTCGAACATATTAATTTGTGATTATAATTTTATTTTAAACAAAAAGATAGCAATCTTAATCAAATAATCAATAATAAATTGGTACAACGATTTAACACATGAAAAAAATCACAATTAGAACACTTCAATTGTGATGAAAAAAATTACAAGCCAAAGTTATAAAACAATCTACTAAGAAGACAAATGAATTACAAACAAAAACCTTCAATTACCTAGTGAATCCATATCCGAATTAAACCAAACCTGATGTGCCTCTTCCACCTCTGTCTTTATCTCGCAATTGCTTTGCCCAACGTTGAATCTACAATGCTGATGTCAAATTCATAATGATGAGCCACTCTGAAATCTACCAAAACTTTGGACGCAAGTTTCTTAGAATCCACCAATAAACACATCTCTTTTTTTTGTGAATGAAAAACAAAAACAACCCTTAATGTTTGTTGATATGCAATTCATTGATCAATCAATAACCTTTTATGCATAAAGGAAATTCATACAAACACCCTCCAATATAGAACATTTGTATTTTACTTCTCTCAGAGAATTTGGACGGGCTCAACCCTAAAATGAGCAAACGGCACACTTTATATTAATAGAGTCACGAAGACTGGTTGAGCCGCAATGCTTCCATATAGGCCAACCGCTCGAGCGCAAAATCTACCGCTCATGCGGTAAAACTTATCTCCCAGAAGTTTAGAATGTAGGTAGAGATACTAGATGAACCACTTTGCCGCCTAAGCGTACGAAAGACAACTCGTGCTTAGTCAACAAAGTAGCAAACAAGAATACTCAAATTAAGATACGAAATGTCAGCACAAACTCTCTGCACAGGCACAACTCGAGTTGGATTCACATCTAAACTCTCATAATCCACAAATACAATAGA